CTTGCCCAAGGTCACATTCTAAATTAAGATTGAACCAGTCCAGTGTAATATTACAGCCCTGACCCTTAATCTCTATGCCCTATCCCTTAGCTTAGCTATGACAGAATTTCTAACACCCTGGCTTGTTAACTCTCCCCCAGGCGAGGTAAAGTCCTAACTTTCAGGCTTTGGGTAGTTCAAGACCCCTCTCCAGACCTTGGTTTCCTCATCTGTAGGGTGAGAGCAGAAACATTTGCCATTCTCATTTGCTGTGAGGATTGAAGGGAAGTAACACCCGTAAAAGAACTTTGGGAGGTTTAAGCTCATATAAGACATTGTGTTGTTGTTATCTTTAGTTCTTGGGCTTGTGCCAAGTTGATAGGAAGTTCAGTGAGTCATTAGGATGAAGTTATTCACTAGAAAAGCAAGTGTGACCTTGGGTCCCATTTACTACAGCCAGGATGAGGGAAATGGACTATTCTACTCAATTCCATTCTGCAATCTCTGGGGGGTGATGTCCTCTGGCTGGCTTTGTGGCTGCCGGAGGGACTTGTACAGTCCAGGCTGCATTCAAGGACCAGGGAAGGGAGGAGCTGGGCCATCAGGACATTGGAAAACCAGCTGTAGATGTAAACCATAGGGCAGGAGTTGCAAACTCACAAGCTCCAGGGGCCAGAGAGAGCAACTCAGAGTGGTAGGGCCTGTGGCAGAGTGCAGACTTGTGCAAAGACATAGCTGCCGCTCCTCCAGCTGGCTGTGGCTGTGCAGGCTGGAATGCAGGCCAGCATCACCCAGGCTTCTGACTTCCCAAGAAAAGCTGAAACTTCTGGTCATCAAAACCAAGTTATCCAAATAAAACCTGTGCTGGATGGATGGGCTGCCAGTTGGCAACCCTGACGCAGGAGATCATGTAGGGTTTATTCACTCATTCATTATTTTTAGCAAATAGTTCTAAGCTCCTACTTGGAAATGGGGACCCTTGGTCTTTAGATCCTCCATGCCAGCTTTACTCCTTGCACCTCCTGACCCCACCCCCAACCCCCAGGCCTGTTCTGGCCGCACTCCCCACCCCCAAGCCCCATCTGTTCCTGTCCTCTCCTGCCCCATCCTACCCTTGGCCCTAAGCTGACCCAACTCTGGGCCCCTCTGCACCTGTCCTGGGGCTCTTGAGCACAGTGGGACCTGCTCACTGCATGAAATGTCAGGGCCATTTCATTTTTTTCTCAGACTTCCTCAAAGCTGCTCTGTACTCTGTTTGTTTGTTTGTTTGTTTGTTTGTTTATCGGCACAGGGCTTACTCTCCAGCTCAACAGAGAAAGCTATCAGATGGGCTTCCTGTGTTTGTTCCTCACCCACCTTTCCCTCTCACTACCAGACTCACCTGCCTGTATATCTGCTTACCACCTACTCCTTCATGGAGGACCCTCCACTCCTGCACCAGAC